GATAGATAGATAGATAGATAGATAGATAGATAGATAGATAGATAGATGGATAGATAGATGGATAGATAGATAGATAGATAGAATGACTGGATAAATGAATAGATGGATGGATGGATGGATGGATGGATGGATGGATGCAAAGATAGATAGATAGATGGACAAGTAGATGGATAGATGGATAGGTAGACAGGTGGAAGGATGGGTAGATGAATAGATAGATATATGAATAGATAGATGGATGAATAGATAGATGAATAGATGGATGGATGAGTGGATGAAGAGATACATGAATAGATAGATGGATAGAGATACATAAACATATGTGTTTTTCACATGTACATATATCAGTATATGCAATATATATATATATGCATATACTGATATATGTACATGTTTCTCCTATATAATCTCATTTCCTTCAGGACAGGAACTATCTGACTTTTATCTTTGTGTCTCACCCAGAGCCCAGCATGTAGTGGGAGCTCAATAACTTCTTGCCAACTGAATGGTTCAAAGCCATGTTCTGTCTTTCGGACCCATGTCCAGAGCTCCTTTCCATAATCCATAGATGACGCCATACTTCTAGCAGATGTTTAATGAATGCTGTTTGAATGAATTGTGCCCCACTAGCCTGGATGTGGAGAGCCCAAGATTTTTAGGGGAGTCTGGATAGGGACAAGAACAGGAACTGGATCTGGGATTTCATTAGGAACTCCCATGCGAGGAAATTCCTTCTACCAGTGTAGGTTGGCATCTACTCTGCAACTTACCGTATTAGAATATTGCCTGGAGTTCTGAGAAGGAAAATGACTTGCCCAGGGTCATGCATCCAGGCTATGTCAGGGGTTGGACTTGAGTCCAGATCTTCCTGGTTTGGAGGGAGGCTCTGTACCCACCCTAGCAATCATCTCCAATGCTCTGGGGAGAAGAGAGGGGTCTTTTGGACCTTGAGATGCCCAGTCCAGGGGCTGACCCCCTGTCCAAAGAGCCCAGAGCTCTGCTGTCACACTCTCTGGGTCAGGGCATTTGACCCCTGCGATCCCCAGTTCTCTGTCTTTGGGAAATTGGCTGAAAGGCTAGCTGACAGACGGAGAGAGACCAAACCAAACCAAAACTGCATGGGAGAAAAAATGGTTAAGCCTGCCTAAGGAAGCTCCCGGCAGCCAAGGCATTAATTATCCCAGCCATGCTAAGCCGGTGACAATGACGTACTTGGGCTTGTTTTTTTCCAAGCCCACAGCTCTGCTGTGAAAAACCAAATTTTCCATGTGAAGTGGAGCGGGAGACACTGAACCCAGTGACTGCGCTTCTGTGACCAGATCTTGCCGCGTTCTTCAGGCTGAGACGCTTCGCTGACATGCTGAAGAAAATCTGCATTTGGCTAATTTGGATTGTTCGGGGCCTTTGACCGGAGTGAGACGAGTGTGGACTTGGAGTCAGCCTGGGCTCAAATCCCAGCTCTGACCCTTGGACAGATAATCTCACCTCCCAATTTCCCCATCTGGAAAATGGGGAGAATAATCCTTGGGCTACTTATCCTATAGGGCTATTGTGATGAAAGGCAGAGGAGTACAGTGGAAAGGGGGCAGTTAGGTGGCACTGCAGTGGATAGAGACCTGGGCCTAGAGTCAGGAAGACCTGAGTTCAAATCCAGTCTCAGACATATACTAGCTGGGTGACCTTGGGCAAGTCACTTAACACTGTTTACCTCAATTTCCTCATCTGTAAAATGAGCTGGAGAAGGAAATGGCAAACAACTCCCAGGATCTTTGCCAGGAAAACCCCAAATGGAGTCAGAAGAGTCAAACCTGACCAAACACAGTGGAAAGAGGAACTGGAGTCAGAAGATCTGAGTTTGAATCCTGGTTTTGCCACTTACTGTGTGATTTGAGCAAGGCCCTGTACCTCCGTTTTTCCCTCTGTAGAATGAAGATGGTTTCTGAGGTCCTCTGCACTTCTCCCTCTAACCTCTTATGATCACTAGTTTGTGACCTCGAGCAAATCATGTAATGTCTCTAACTTCAGTTTTCTCAAATGTAAAATGTGGGGGGCAGCTAGGTGGTGCAGTGGATAGAGCTCTAGCCTTGGAGTCAGGAGGACCTGAGTTCAAATCTGGACTCAGACACTTAACACTTACTAGCTGTGTGACCCTGGGCAAGTCACTTAACCCCAACTGCCACACCAAAAATAAATAAATAAACCATTTGAAAAAAAATTCAAATGTAAAATGAGGGTATTGGACCAGGAGGCCCTTGAGATGCCTTCCAGACCTATATCTATAAGTCTATGATGTCTGATGTCCTTTCCACTTCTAAATCTAGAATCTTAGGAAATTCTTCTTTTAGAAAAGATACTTTATTGATGCCTTTTGTCTTCATGTTATAGTTATTTCCCAGCCTGCTCCAGATGGAACCCACCCTTGTGACAAAGGAAAAAAATAAGCCAAAATGTCCAATACAGAGACTGTGTCTGACATTGTATAGAACAGAAGGTTGGATAGGGTGACCCATGTCAGATAGAAGCCCTGTATTGGGGGTATATGCTTAATTTTTTCTCTTTGTCAGGATCAGGAGCGGGGAGAAGAAGGGGTCAGAATAGAATCCAAACCAAGCATTCTTCACCTTCTTTGTGTCATGGACCTCTCTGGTTGTCTGGGAAAGCCCTTCTCAAAAAATGGTTTTTTGTCCACATTCATAATGGAAAGAAATATTCAATTTCAGTTAGAGCTTAGTGAAAATTAAGTCATTTTTGTTCCTATCTAAGGTCACAGATGCCCTGAAATCTGTGAGGAGGGGGAGGTCTGTCAATATCAGGTTAAGAATTTCTGATCTAAAAAGAAGAACCCAGACACTTTCCTGCCCCAGAAATAGCTGTGAGAAAAATATAAATGGTTCTGATAAAACTTTTTAAAAATTATTTTTAATGAGGGGTTTAGAATCATTAATGCCTAAGGTCCCTTCAGCTCTCAATCTGTGATCCTGTGGTCCTTTGAATGAAAATGTCCCCTTCTGTGAAATACCCAAGTCATGATTTCTTCCTTTAAAACTTGCTGACCGAGACAGCTTTTTGGTGAGGCAGCAGAGGGAGCGAAGTTGGTCACTTTTGGTGAACCCTGGAAAAAGAATTGTGGGATGTCAGAGCACATCTGGGTCAAAGGAAGGCATGGCGGGTGGAGGGTGAGGGAGTGGGGAGTGTGCCCTGGGTTATCTCTTTTCCAGTCTGTGCCTGATCTTCCTTAACCTGGACAGTTGAGGCCCTAGTAAAATTAGGTTGATGTGAGGCCAATCTCCGATGATCTCCAAGCACTCTGAGGGCAGAGCTCACTTCAGTACTGAAACGGGGCAGAGACTGGGGGAAGGGGTCATCTTCTGTATTTTACAAAGAATGTTAACTGATGGCCTTGGAGGAATAATAATAACAATGTTAGATCATGGTTTGCAGTAAGCCAATGACTTATCTCCAGATGACCTTCATGAGGGCTAGGTCAGTCCCTCTGATCCACTGTCAGGGGCTCAGGCCGCAGCTGTTCCCAGGCCTCCTTTGGAAAGAGCAAAAAATGGAGATTGTCACCACTCCTCCTTTCCTTACAGTGCTCTAGACACATGCTCTATCATCCTCTGAGGGAATCTGGTCAGACTTAGGGATGAATAATATAATGTCCCCTTCAGCACAGCCTTTCCCCAAATCCTATCATCTCTTTTTCTGTGAGAGTGAAAGAGTAATGCCTGCCACGCCGGAACGTGAGAGAGTGACAGCAAATATCGGCCTTTCAGATCCCTCTGGGATGGCGCTACGTAAGGGCCATGTTGTTATTGCTGGTCTTACGCCACCATCCTTATTAGCTCAAAGGCATTGGAGGAGACGTGAGCAGGATGAGATCCATCAAGAAAAGGAAGAGGAAGAATCTGGGAATTGAGACACCTGGGGTTGGGCCTCCGCCCTGCCTCCAGCCTTGTGTGACCTTGGACTAATCCCTCCCTCTCTCTAAGCATCATTTGCTTCTTCTGTAAATTTAGGATTTGGGCAGGATTACAGGATCCAGGATCTGGGCCTCACAGTCCATCCAACCAAATGCTCTCACTTTACAGATTAGGAAACAGGCCCATTAAAGTGAGGTCACTTTGGGCCCTGGGATCATAGCTCTGGGTCAGAAAAGGGCTCAAAGGCCATCTGGTCCAATCCCCTCATTTTACAGGACGGTGATGTGCTGACTATCACAAAGTAGGAATTGTCAGGAGCAAAATTTGAACCAGGTTCTCTGCCTCTACAACCAGTGCCCTTGTCCCTGTACCACTGAGGTCCCTTCAGGCTCTGACACGCTTGAGTTCATAAATATAAGATGGAAAGCTGGGGGATGATCTTATAACCCAAGAGAGGAAACAAATGATCCAGGCTGCAAAAAGGCAAGAGAGGGAAAATCAGTCAATTGGTGAGTCAATAAACATTTGTTGAGTACCTACTATGTGCCAGGCACTGTTATAAAGCTACCAGAAAAGGCCTTCAAGGAATAACACACACTTCATTAATGGCCATTTGGGTAGAGCCAGAGTGACTCCAATATACTATATGGAAAGATGAAGAAGTCAGAGGATGAAAAAAAATCAATTTTAACCAAAGTATTTTGATTATCCTACCCCTCCCTCTCCATTCAAATCCTCCTTTGAGGCCTCTTCCTTTCATGGACATCAGCCTGGGTCCTTGAAGACGAAATCGACGGAGCGCAAACTCAGGGAAGTCCAGAAAGGCTTAGCATATGGGCCCAGTGACAGATGTCTGTTGACCAAGGACCGGCCTAGTTAAGTGCAGAAGGGCTCATCACCAGATTATCCACAGGGTGAAGGTCTGTTTAGCTGTGGCAAGGCTTGAAGACCATCTACTCAGTCCCAGCAGGGTTGCAATCCGTGTTGGTAGAGAGAGTACCCACACTGAGAAGATCATAAATTCTTAAAGTTTGGTGGTTATTTACGGTTTGGTGCAGGGTCCAGTTTTGAGGTCAAAATGGGAACTTCCTGACCCTTTGAAGCTGAGTAGTTTAGCATATTTCTTCCTTTTCTTTCCTAAGTACTGCTTGTTTTATTTTTAAAATGCTGCTAATGAAATTATCGACAGCCATCTGGAAAAAATGCTCAAAATCACTTACAGGTGGGAAAATGCAAATTGAAACAACTCTGCAGTATCATCTCACAGCCATAAAATTGTCGAAGAAGGGGGAAAAATGAAAAAAATTCACCGGTGATGGCAGACACACTCATACACTCAGTGAACAGTGCGCATTTAGGCCCGGCCATTGGAGAAGACAAGAGAAATTATAAACAAAAAATTATAAAATAATAAAATTCTATATAAAAATTGTTTTTTAAATTATAATAAGTAATTCCAATCATTCCACTTTTGAATTTGCTCCCTAAAGAGTAGATTGTTTGTTTGTTTCTTGCCCATTCTTTGATTTTGTTGGTATTGGGAGCTCCTAGTAAGGATCCATGATCTTGGACAAGTCCTCAGTTTCCTCATCTGTAAAATGAAGGGTTGAGCTAGATGTCCTCCAAAGTCTTTTCTAGATATAAATTTATGTGTGACCTGAGCAAGTCATCTAACTGTGCCTCAGTTTCCCCATCTATAAAATAAGGAGATTGAGCTAGCAAGATGACTTTTAAGGTCCCTTTCAGTGCTACAGCTATAAGCCCATGAACATTATCTACCAAGGCAGACAGGCATTTCTGAAGTTAGAGACTTGGGGAGGGGGTGTGGTGAAGGAAGAAGGAGGGGGGAGGGGGCATTGAGAGTTTAAGTGATTTACCCAGGCTCCATAGCTGATGATATCAAGGGAGAGACTCAAACCCAAAGCTCTCTGTCTATTCCAGCCCACGGGTTCCCAAGAAGGGAGCTGGAGGTCACTGGAAGGATCTAGTGGGGGTAAGAGTAGCCTCTGGTGCAATTGGAGGGCATTGAATAAAAATAAGGGGGCAATGGAAGCATAAGGAAAGAAGAGAAGATAAGAAAATTTTGAAAGAACATTCGTGCATGTTTCATCTTTTGTGTAACAGAGTTAAAGTCATAGTACTTACACTATTTTCCAAATAAAAACACACAATGCAAGTTATTAACTGATCAGTGGTTAAGTCTTCAGATAGGTCTTAACAAGCAGGTGCTTCGAATTGTCAGGAAGTCCGGCATGCACGGGCAGGAATATATTCCTGTAATGACTTGTTTACAATACTATACAGTTACATGATGCAATATTGTATCATCAAAATTTCAATGCAGGAAAAAATAAATTTACAGTAAATTACTAAATGTAAGATGCATCATTGAAAAAATGTTTATTTTTTTTTGAAATGACACATTTTTTAAAAATCACTAAGGGGTTAAAAAAAATGTAGATTTCCAGGAGGCACTGAGGAATTGTTTTTTTGAAAAGGGGGCGGTAGGCCAAATAAATTCGGGAACTTCTGGTCTACACTACATCAGCATTGCTTATCAAGAACGCAAAAAAGATTACTGATAATAAGAGATCCACCTGTCTAAAAATGGTCATAGTAACATTCCGGGTAACAACAAAGTGTTAGAAATCAACTTTGTGTGCCACAGTTGGTACCAACTGTGGTATCTGAATGTAATGAAATATGACTTTGCCACAAGCAGAGACAAGAATTCAAAATAATGTGGAAGGAGACGTATGAAATGGGACAGAAGGAAGAAAGAGCAGGAAACAATGACTACAACCAGGTAAATGAAGTCAACTCAGGTTGAATACAGAAGGGAACAGGGATAGATACTACAGGAACTTGCAAAGTTTCATCAGTTACAATCGGTTGCAATCACTCTGTTACAGTGTTTTGGGCAACAATTTTGGGGATCTTTGGCGTCATAGAGAATGAACCTTGGAGATCATGCCACGGAGTGGTTCTCAATGGACTCACAACAATGTCTAAGTCGGGGAGGGATGGGGTGGCAATAAAAATTCTTGAATGGTACCTTAAGCAATAAATAATTGCAGAATCTTCTGAGTAGTATATCAAATTCAGGCAGCTGTGTGATGCAATAGATAGTGTGCCAGGACCAGAAGTCAGAAGACTCATCTTCCTGATTTCAAATCTGGCCTCAGACACTTCCTAGCTGTGCGATCCTGGGCAAATCACTTCACCCTCTTTGCCTCAGTTTCCTCATCTGTCAAATGAGCTGGAGAAGGAAATAGCAAACCACTCCAGCATCTCTGCCAAGAAAACCCTAAATGGGGTCATGGAGAGTGGGACACAACTGAAAAACAAGTCAAAAACAACCAAAATGTTAAATTACCCAGGGGGTTGACAACACTTTTTTTTTTTTGAGTGAAAAGAGTTCACAGAACACAAAAACCTTAGGAACCACCATTTTTTTTTATCACTCAAACCTCACAAGATATGGTAAAATACAAAGAATTACAAAAGAAAGCAGTCATATTAAAATTTGGTTGTCAAAATACATACATTTTTAAAAACAAGGTCATAGACCCAAGTTAAGAACCTTTGATCTAAACCGTGCTTGCCTTCTTAATGGGTGGGGGAGGGGTAGGAGGGAGGGAGAGAATTTGGAACTCAAAAAAAAATTTTAATGAATGTTAAAAAATAAATAAATACTGATTTTTAAAAAGCCTTGATCTAGAGCTAGACCATCCCCTTCATTTTATGGATGAGCAAACTGAGGCTTAGAAAGAGTGACTTGCTCAAGGTCACCCAATGAGGCGAAGGTGAGTCACCATTTGAACCCAGGTCTTCTGCTTCTATTCTCATATTCATTCTACCACATCATGCTGGAATTATACACCATATAGGAATCAAGGGGAAGAATAAAATGTTGCTAGTGCCTTTAAACATTGTTTTCTGTTCAGTCGTGCCCGACTCTTTGTGACCCCATTTGGAGTTTTCTTGGCAAAGATACTGGAGTGCTTTGCCATTTCCTTCTCCTGCTCATTTGATAGATGAGGAAACTGAGGCAAACAGGGCTAAGTGACTTGTCCAGGGTCACACAGCTAGTAAGTATCTGGGGCTGGATTTGAACTCAGGCGTTCTAGACTCCAGACCTGGTGCTCTATCCACTATATCAAATGCCAAAAAGTTTCAATTTGCTGTTCTT